TCTAATGAAAGATATGAACACTCTCCACAGGAAAAAAAACCCACAATTTTACATACAATTCCCAGGGGTTCGTTGACCATCTGAAAGCTACCCATGAGTCACACATTAAGAATCCCTTCTCTAGGGGTGCCTGGGTGGATCAGTCATTTAAGTGTCCAACTCTTGGGTTTGGCTCCAGTCATGATCTCACCGTTTGTGAGTTTGAGCCCCTGAGTTGGGCTCTGTGCTACAGCATGGAGCCTGCTTGGGATTCTCATTCTCTCTGCCCCTATCCCCCCTCAAAATAAATAAATAAACTTAAAAATAAAGAACCCCTTCTCTAAAGGAGACACAACATGTGACCATGATTTAAAGGAAGTCATGGGGGTTTTAACTTATTAAAGAACCTTTGAAATTACTTATTCCAAACTCTCATTTTCTAGATGTGGGCAGAGATCTTGTTGAAAGTCACAGGACAAGTTGGTGACAGAATTAGGAATTTGAATGCTATTTTAAATCCATTTCCTTAGAAGCAGACCCTTCAGGGACAATGTTTTGTAGGAAAGTGATTTATTAAGGAGGTGCTCTCAAGGAAGACAGGCAAGGGTGTGGAGGTCCAGGACAGAGAAAAGGAGGTCAGGCCAGGGTGCCTCTCAGGCAAACACCTGTTGCAGGAGGTGGGGTACCATGGGGAGCTCTGGAATGTAAGACATGCCCAAGGAATGAGTCAGCTTTCCTACCTGTACATCCTCATCATGGGTTAAAAGGGAGGAAGAAATGAACTCCCAAGAATCAGTAGCCCAAGGACACTCCTCCAAAAAAGAACTGTATATGTCAGGTGAGGACAGAGCTCAGCAAGAGTAAAAGGGGACCCCAAAGGCTGCCAGGTGGAAGGTAGCTAATGTGACAGCCAAGCTTTCTTGAACCCATGCTGCTTCCCCCACTCCCAAAGAGACACATACAGGCTTTTTAGTAGGTGACTCAATGCCCGCTTTCCCAAGATTAAAAATTAATGGATGCATAGTATTTATTTTAAATTTTAGTCTGAAGCATGATAAAGGTTCCCAGGCCTCTAACTGTAAGCCCTGTGCAGAGTGGCACCAATGACAAGGACTGCCATACAGATAGCTTCCTTCTGAAGGATTCACCATACTTGGCGACCCAGGACCGCATTCTGCCCCAGTCTGTAAAGCCGCCATAAACTCTGCCGCAAATAGCACACCACCTCCAACCTTACGTATGCCTCCAACAAAGGCCAGACAAGCTTACTTTGTTTCTGCAGAGCACTTTATTTTCTGGGGTTGCAATTCCCTTTTCCCTCCTGAGCAACATAGCTGCATTGCGGGAGAGACCCTACATGGTGCTTTAGTCTTGAAAAGTCTCCCCTCACCCACCACGCCAATAGAAACGAAGTTTGGCTTTACTTACGTAACAAAATCCTGAAGACCGAAGCGATGCCATTGGAGTCCCTGCTCCGAGGCTACAAACTACCAGAGAAAAAGATCAACACCCCAATAGAAATCTAGGTAACAGAAATGAAAAGACGGTTGGGAGGGTGAATAGACTCACCGACAATGGCCAGACCATACATGAAAATAGAAATCGAATCCACGTTGGATAGCAATCAGTCCAGGAAGCCAAAACCACCATCTCTGCAGCAGCTGACCCCAAACAGACCCCAAACTGACCCCAGTCCACATAGGATGCTGGCTACTAGTTAGCCAGCTGCAGCTCCCCCAGGCCAACAGCCTGTAGTCAGGGCACACCTGACCTGAAGCCTTCCTGTTTTCCCACTACAAATCTTTCCAATTCCTCTGCCTACCTTTGAGTCTCCACCAAACACAACAAACGGTGGCCGGTTCCCTTGCTCTAGCAAGCCTTTACTTGTTCTCCCTTGGGTAGTCCTTGTTTATTTACACACAGTTCACAGGGAAAATACAAAACGTCAATAAATGTGGGGAGCTTAATACAGCCATGAAGTGTGCTTTTTTTTTTTTTTTTTTTTGCTTGATTGGGAAGGCAGTTTGAAAGTATTAAGCAAAAGGTGAAATATGCATGCCCTTAAACCTAATCCCAGTAACTCATTTTACAGAAATTGTCTCCTAAATACACCAAAGTATGTGCAAAGATGTCCCATGTTTAAATATTTGTGCAAAATAAATGTCCAAAGGGGGCTGCATAGAATGTGGGAGAACCGTACAGTGGAATTCTGTGAGATAACCCAAAGAATAAGATGTCGGGGATGAGTAGATGGCTGGGAGACATAGACGGCAGAACGTTGTGGTTGTGTGCTTGGGTACACCTCTCTGGCTGCTTCACACAGCACTGATAATGGTGCATCCCAGAAGTGGGCCTGGAGAATGGGAGAGGGCCTTTCACTTTATACATTTCTCATTGTTTGCGGTTTTGAGATGATCATGTATTACCTTGGTAATGAAAAAAATTAAAATAAAAAGAATCCGCTGGGAAATGCAGTGGCTTGCATGAAATGTGGTCCTGAGAACATTATTCACTCTGTCACCTATTTTCTCACTTCTCCACATATTGTGGCTGAGTTATGCAGAATAAGGCATGGGCATTGATTACAGCTTTGATTCCTGGAACAATAGCTGAGATAATGAGGAGCCCACTTCATTGACAATACCCAGCCACACCTTCTTGGCCTCGAGACAAACACTGGTGCAGGTGCTGGAACAATCACATCTCATTTATCTGCCATTGTCCAGGAAGGAGCCCTGGTGAAATTTCTAAAATAATAGAGGCTTACCATCTGTTTAAAGCGCCAACATGTTTTTTTTTTTTTTTAATGTACTCATTTTGACAGAAATCTTTCTTAAAAAGATTCAAACTCTTACTTTCTCCTAAAGAGTACAGTGATCGTAATAAAGTCAATTCTTGATGATTTGGAGCATAGTGCTGACCACTGAGCCCTGAGCAGTGACATTTCAGCACCCTATCTGGGAGAGATCCCAGTGGACGGGGAAGCTTCTTTTACTTTGAGTCCTCACCAATCCCCATGATGTTAAATTCTTTTCTGATTTGAAAATTTCTGTGGCTTTTCTCACTTCTAGCTGTCCTTTAAAGATAATATACCTGTTGGATACTGCCCTGTCTGGAGGAGCTCTAGCTATTGTTTATACCTCATTTCCTTTGAAGCTCCATCCCAAAGAGGAGCCAGAGTAAAGGCACAGGTGAACATAGTCTCTGGGAGGTGATCCCAGGATGCAGAGTGAAAGGGAGAGGAAAGGGAAGGCAGCCAGCAAGAGGGGGTGTTAAAGAGCAGGTTACCACATGGACAATGATAACTTGCAATCACAATGGGGACACAGCCTGGGGATACACCTTATTACTGTGTCACTGAGGAGTGAGGAAATTGGAGTATTTTTTCACCACCTAGTATCCTTCCTATCTTCCCTGATTGAGGATTGCTGCGGGGATTGAGGGAAAGTCAGATCTTCAGCACTTTGGGTCTGCATCTACCTGGCTGTGCCAGGTAATGCCTTCAAGCAGAAAGACCCAGGAACCAGCCAAGATGATAGCAGAACACTAAAAGTCAGCTACACTCTCATACAAGCAAATGAAGTCAGCAATACTACCCCTTTTTACATATTAAGGAAACAAGATTATGAAAGGTTAAACTATCTGTCCAGGGTCACACAGTTAGCCAATGACAGAGCTAGGATTCTATCCTAGGTTGAACTGGCCCCAGAGTTTTTCTCTGCTATCACAAATGGCTGCTGTGCATCCAGGGGCCTCTGGGGACCCTTCTAAGTGGTCACCTTCTGAAAAATCAGCTGATCCAGACTATTAGACCTGAGAAGATATGACTCTTGTTTCCTGATGTATCCTGGTTCCTAGAACAGTACCTGACATGTGGCATGCACTTACAAGTGAATGAATGAATGAGGCTAAACTCTGAAATGTCTTCAGTGGTCTAAT